TTATTATTATTATTATATTTAGTACAGGGTCTCACTACACAGATCGGACTCATAGTGATCCTCCTGTTTTGAGCCTCCCAAGCACTGGGATTATAGGCGTGCATGCCATCATGTCCAGTCTCAGTTGCCATTTTAGTGTACCTCAGGGGCGGGACCAGCAAAGCACTTGGGGAATCAAACCCTGGTCCCTACACCTGCCTAAGCAGGTGCTTTTTAGTCTACTGAGCTATCTGGCCAGCCCTTGAATTACTATATTTAAGCCAGTAGTATCTTAACTGATCTCAGCACTGTTCATTTTATTGTTGAGTAGCAGTAAAGTAATTCTCAACCCCATTGCATCCACAAAATGTCCCAAAGGATTTTCCTCTGAGATTGGTACCTAGAAGTGACATTACAGGGTGGATTTACCACGGTACTTTTGTTTGCTTGACCCCATTCCATTCCCTACAAGTCAGGCACAGTTGTAAATGAAGTTATCAAAACCAGTTTAAAGAACAGCAAAGGGGGGCTGGAGAGATGGCTCAGTGGTCTAAAGCACCTACTTAGAACAAGCTTGGTAAAGCACAGGGACCATGGTTCGATCCCCCAGCACCACATACCGGCCAGCCGCGCCCCCTTGTGGGCTGAGCTGGCCACACACACACACACACAATAAATAAATGTTAAAAAAAAAAAAATTTAAGAACAGCAAAGGGGGGCCGGGGAGATGGCTCAGTAGAATAAGCACTTCCCTGGCAAGCACAAGGGCCTGAGTTCAATCCCCGGTTCTGCTCAGATAAATAGTGTCGCGTAGCACCAAAAAGAGAACAACACCCCTGAACCAGGAGAGTGACCGCTTTCTGCACATCATGCAGCAGCATCCAGAGATGATCCAGCAGGTAAAGAAGCCGAGGCTAGGCAGTCGGGATGGGGTGTCCTACTGGTGAAGGGCCTCTCCGAGAAGAGCGGCCAGCGAGTATAACTAACATCTTACCAGGTTTGTGCTGCTGAGGATAGGCTTTTTTAAAAGTTCAATCATGTTGAGTTGCTAAGTAGTTCTTGCATATAGAAAACCTGAAAAAACAGGAACAAAATTCAAGGCAATGGAA